CGGTAAATACGTGTAACGAAACTACTCCGGAAGAAAATTTCAACTTATCCCATGGTCAACAACCCATTCTTTGTTTACTTGCTACTGCTGCTATAACCGGCCCACGTACACACAGCGCGGCATGGTGGAACGATAATGTAGCTCAATAATTTATAATGGCTGCTTTAAAATCTGTACGTAGGCTAGTTTATTCAAGTTTATTTCTAGCTATATGCTACTAAATTTAGACTTCGTCGTGCATTTGTGAGGAGGCGAAGGAGAGCTGCAACCACGCCTGGGCCGTTAAACCTATTGAATTTGGCGCTAGGTTGTGGGCAAAACTTTTGGAAAAATAATTAAGGTTGATTTATCATCGCCTCCGGCTCCATGGTCATTCCATACACGGTATTCTACCCAGCAATTTGGTGGTCAAAATTGTCGCGGATAATCCAGATGGAAAGGTAATTAGACTAGTGTCCGAGCGGTTTTAGAAAGTGTGTACCGGTGAATTAACTGGTAAATCGCACGGATATTTTTTCGCTCGAATGGGCCCTTAGCTCCTCACATATCCCTCACATGAGAGTTAGACAGGGTTAAAAGGACAATGTTTGTATCCATTATTAATTTTACCGGTTGGCGCTCTGCACTGTGGCTCTTGCGAAGGCCAATCCTAAATTCCCAATTTCAATTTCAAGAAAGAAAAAATTGTATTTATTTACAGTAACTTATTGAGCAGTAAATTCTCAATACTAATACTGTAGCTTAATTGAATATTTACAGAGGAAGCAATTCAGTAGCACTGTATACAGTTAGTTTTTAATTGCATTTAATTAAGTAATTGCCTTGCCTTGTGAGATAAGTACTGATGCATCTTCACAGGTAATCACTTAATCATTGTATTAGATAAATGTTCTGCACATGTACTTATAGAAGTACAATGGGAAAAATTGAATCACATTCCCTCCTGTAGCTATAGTGTGTATTACTATAACGAACACAACCTTGGGAAACAAGGTACTGTATATGTTTGATGGCTTAGCTTTAACTATAGTATAAACCATCAAACACAAATGTTCCAATATTCATTTTTTTGTGATTTACATAGATTGTCAATATGTTCATTATTGCTATCACTGCAGTCAGTTGGATATGCCATTTGGAATGGTTTTTTTTTTAAACTTATTCTGGAGCATGTTTTTTTTTTTTTTTTTTAACTTATTCTGGAGCCTTTTAAATGGTCTAAGCCTATTAGTAATGGTAGAGTAAATAAATATTGATGTGTTAGTATGCCTACTGTATAGTTAGTACAATATGTTGTCTTGGAAGCAGTGAAGCTGAAGTATACTGACGATCATCCTACAGTACAATCATTTATTTAATTGAAATTGTAATGTATTCAATTAATGACAGTTACAACAATAGGCCTACTTTATTGATTTCCATATTAGAAAATTAACTTTACATTATTTCACGCTGTGTCATACCGGTCAATACAGGGTGATAAGTGGCAAACACTAAAGTAAAATTTAGTATTGTATGGTAAATTAAAACTTCCCAACACTCCATCTCTCAGGGGTCCAAAGACTTGTGCAAGTCATAGGAATGTGCTGGAAATTTGGACGGCCTTGCACAACCAAGCAATAATCTTCCGGAAAATAATCCAACTTTTGCAAATTCATAATATTTACATGTGTTTACTAATTTATTAATATCGATTGTTTCATAGACGTCTGTGCCAATTGATATCACCATGCACAGCAAAATGAAATTTGATAAGAAAGTACTGTACTGTATATTAAACCAGGTCTCCTGTAAAGATTTCTTCCAACTTGCGATCCATTGTGTTTACTATGGTTGTAATGAATAATTAGATTTAGTAAAACAACTATTAGTGAAATGTCATACAGTATAGTAATGGCATATATTGCAAAATATTTTCTATAATAAAAAAAATAATGCAATTTGAATGATATTATACTTCAATAATATAATACTGTAAACTATTTTGAAGTTGGTTTTTATGATACAATGATACAAATAATAATAATAATAATAATAATAATGATACTAATAATAATAATAATAATTTACGTTTATATGTCTCATAATGCACAGTGCCTCTAAGTGCTTTTCATAAAATTATAAAAAAAAATCATGATAACTTTACAATAATATAATAAGCTGTGGTGGCAAAACAGCGCTAGTAATAAAATTAATATTTTAATTTTATTAAAATAATATCAGTAATAATATTGGTTCGTTAAAAAAGTAAATGTACATGTGATAACCATAAAACTCAATACCATGTGACTGTTCATCTTTCAGGTAAATGGGCATTTACCATCACACAGGTACCACCACCAACAGCAACAGGTGAATTACCAACCAGGTGAGTTCCAAGATGGCCAACTGAACCACAGTGTCTCACCTGACCTCAATTATCCACGACTCAAGTCCAAATTCTACGAAGATTTACGGCAGAAATATCCAAAGGCCTTTAAAAAACATACCAGTACTGACAGTCCAGTCAAAGCAGCTGAAAAAATGAGTCCGTCCACTGTGGAATCCGAGGAAGACGATCAGAAAAAACAGAAGGACATGTCGCCACGGTATTTACCGCGGCCACCGAATGAAAGTCCAAGAACTCTTACACGCAATACAAGAAACTTACGTGAGGCTGCACGCTTGCTTCTGAATCGAAGCAGGCAGAATTTGTCTGTTTCAGAATCGGACAGTGAGAAGATGAACACGGAATCTCCAGATTCTGTAAAAGATAGACTCAGGCAGAATAAAGAGAGAATGAAAGAACTGCTACAAAGTTCAGGTCTTGGCAAATATAAGGAGAAAAGACGGGATTCAACTGGGAGTCCATCAGAAAAGATTAGGCCTGTCAATGGTATTCATAAGGAGTTTAGCAGCGCAGAGAATTTGAAGAATAATAGGTCTATCCAGTCAGGTTTGGAGTATGTATCAGATAGTGGCATTGATGCCACTGGACATTCCACTAGTAGATCAATGGATAGTTGTCAGTCTGGTGGTCAGAGGGATGTTGGAAGTTTTCAGCTCAGGCGGCATTCCAGTGGAGGATGTCTAGTTGAATCAAGGAATGGTCAGAATACAGAAACTGTTAATAAAGGTAAGGAATAGAATTCATAAAATATCAGGTTAAAGATAAAAAATTTAGAGGCTGACTTGCTTAATTTAATATATTTTGGTAAGTTATTGTCTTTCTACTGAAAATTATATAAGAAAAAGTTTTCAAGTCAAATGGACATTATATGTTCATAGTGTTTATATTACCATTATATTATTTCAGGATTTTCACAATAAAATGAGATATTATAAGATAATAAACTAAGGTAAAATTTTTGTCATTTGCAAGACATGAAATTTTGAAAGGCTAATTTATGTGGTTGTTTTTAAATGAGCAACAAAAGTTCTAATTTAGAGGTTTTCCCCTTGATATTTTTTGGGTGGTATTGTATGTAAATATTGATTTTATGCTTTAAAAATAAACTTAATAAAAATTTTAAAGAATACAAATAGGTATAATTATTGTTCTAAAATTAGTTGGAATAACAAAGCACATTGCTGAAATATCTTGTACATGAACTTGCTAGGCTAGGAATTTTTACTTTACTCTACCATGTTACAAACAACATTCTGTCTATTGAAAAAAAAATCTATTGAAATATTAAGGTTATTGAATCATGTCAGGTGGCCTTTATTTGCATTGAGCCTCTGTACGTGCTTTTATTCTTTTTCTGTTGGCTTGTTCCGGGGTCATTGTTTTCACATACAGACACTGCTCTGCTGTGTAATCAAACTTTTTAAACCCCCAATGTCAATGGCATCTGTTTTCTGTAATTCATGTAAATATTTTGTGACTGAGAATAATATTGTACCAAAGTCCAAAACCAAAACAAATTTGTGGAGAAAGTATTTTATTCTCAAGAAGACAATGTGAAAATTTACCATCACTGAGAAGTCAACTGTTTTAACAAGTGTTCATTTTTAAATTTTTGTAGTCTGTAAAACTGTGCCCATCTTATTGCTGTTGTTTTTGGAAAGGCATAAGTTGAATTGCAGCGGTTCCAACTGAATGGTTAAATGAGATGTGATGCTTGACACATTCAGTTTGTCCTTGAGCAAGACACTTTATAGATATTTCTGTGAATTACGTTAACTGCTAAAATAAGAAACCTAATTTACCACACCTTCCAGTTTGAAGCATTGACAATGCAATTGTGTAGTATTTTTTAACAAATGTTTATAGTACCGGTATAATACCAAAACAAAAAGCAATGTATTCAAAGCATATAAAAACGTTGACAAATTATGAAGCTTGCCTCATATAATTTTGTTCACACACAGTTTACACTTTTTCCTTTCCCCAAAGGTGTTTTAGCCCCTTTCTGCATCGTCCGGATTTCTATAATGGAAAGAAGGAAAGGAAACATTGGGTTGTTTAGGAAATGTACCCTATGCTTTTAAACTAGGATGATTCCTATTTATCAACACTTTTGTAATTTTGTCATTATACTGTAATTATTTATATATTTTTTATGATTAAAGATTTTTAAATATTTTGTTTAAATTAAGACTCACAGTTTATTTCTATCTTAAGTGTGAGTGACAGGTTTTGGTGTTGAATAGCAAGATTTTAGCAAATGCAGTGACAGATAGTTTATGAGAATAAACTACTGTAAGCCACAAGTAACATCATGGAGTGGTAATTCCTGCTAATCTACATTCATTATCAACTTCCCACTTCCAGAAATATGCAATTCAGTCTCTATGTTTGTCAATCAAATTTAACCTTTTATCACAAACTGTCAATGAAATGTTAATTATATCAAGTCTGCTTTCATTGTTGAATTGCGACACAATTGATATGGAGTTTCAGTAGTAGGAAGTTGTCATTCGCACGTGGACTGTCCATTTCCTTTAGTCTGAGACGTGAAAATTGGGATTCAAGGAGAGGATGGGTGTAGAGCAGGATTATCGCGTATTTAGCTCCAGTACAAATGAAATGCTATTTGTGTTCCGAGATTTACCAAAATCAATTACTGTTATGTCTGGCTCGAAGTTTGATGAATATTTGTGTAAGGACCATTACTGTACTCTAATTATTTTTGGTTTTTAGTTATTATGTTGTAGCCATGCTATTTGTTAGGTTGTGCTTTACTTTGTTCAGGTCATGTTTTTGCATCATTTGATGATCAGTATTTACTGTCTATTTTCAGATTCATTTGATAGTATTCACAGATTTTTTTTTTTTAATAGTCAAGTGTCTTTAAACTTGTACTCTACATTACATTATGCATTTAAGCAAATTCATAATTTTAATATTCTTTTTATTAATTAGTGTTTGTTACTAAATAATTTTTGTCTTTTTTAATTCATACAATAGGGACGTTTTGATATTTATAAAAGAATGTAGGCCTACAAAATTAATAATGCAAACACAATGCACTGAGGAGAGTCGAGATTTCCTATTGCTTTTACTGTGCTTTCCATCTTCAGACAGTAATTTCTTATTAAATTTAACAGGTTACCATACGGCTGATAGCGATACCGATTCCGGAATTAGTAGAAGTGATCACTCCTGGCATGGATCACACAGGTAAGATAATTTATCTTGATTGTATACGGAAGGTTTCTAACCCCTAGAAATGTTCCTAAAATATCAAATTTTATCTACACGCATTTCATTGTGTGCCTGCTTGGCAAAATCCTACCAACTTTAAGATATCCATTTTTATTCTATTCATTTTATTTATTTATTCAACCAGCATTTACAAAAGACAACATACACTATGTAAAAAATTGAAATGCTAGACCGGGTACATTAGCCAAAGTACATTGGGCAAGACTTTTTTACACCTTGTTTTGGCAAAAATATTTGCTAAACAAGAAAACAAAATGTTATTTTTATTTTTATTCCGCTCTCCTCAGATAATCTTTTAAAAAATAAGTACACAAAACAAGGAATAAAAAAAAGTCTCAGCTTGCTATCTCGGACATGACATTCAAATATTTGGCCATCATCAGTAATTTAAAACCAAAATTATATATGAGAGATGTTTTGCCCCACCTGACTTGTTCGAATATTCGTACGTTCCTAAATACTTGCGAAAAGTTAAATTATTAGTGTTTTCCATATGTATTTGCGAACGTTCTAAGTATTCGGTACGATAACACATCAGGTAATGCAAAACATCACTCATATGATATTTCCTGATGCAAACACACATAACAAAGTTATTGTTTTCTGAAGTTTTGTATTTTATATTAGCATAATTATATAAAATTGTGCTTTTCAGCTATTAATTTAATCAATTAAAGTTTTTATTTGAATTATTGTATGAGTAAATATTTCCACCAGTATAATATGTGAATAATGACATTTCCTGCTCCTATATTCTTTGTTTTATTATAAAATAGGCCCATTTATTAATACTAAGTAATTATACAACATAATTATAAATTGTATTGTTCAATCATCAGATAAATTATAGACAAATTCTAACTCATGACCTCAATTGATAATTCTTACTTTCTGGAATAAATTTGGTATTGATAACATTATTAGGGTGTTCACACTTGTTTCAGATCAACTCTCCTGGTTATGACTTTGTGAAATGAACATGTCTTTTGTTCTCTGGCGTGTGTTGCAATTAGCTCAACAAATGCAAGGAAAATACCCCTGCTTAAGCATCCTTGCCATTCCAATTTTGCTGGCCAATATCCACCCATTATTAGTTAGAATTTAAGTTTAATCCATTTTCTTTGGAGAGCACGGCAGATTAACGGGTTCGTCATAATAGAGAGGAATTCAGATTTTTATAAGCAAAGGCATCTTGATGTTTTTGGAATACTTGCTGTACAGTGTCTTTCATCTGTGAAAAAAGGTGTATAAAATAACTTGTACAATATCAATGCTAGGCTGAAAGTTGCATAGTTGTGTTGTAGCTTTTGAGAAGGTCTTATAGCTAATATGCAAGCCGTTGGAAAGGTTTTTTTTTGTTTGACCGCAGTTGCACTTCGCCAGAGAATGCAGATAATATATCACATTCGAATATACCACATTCGAATGAGCTGTCTGTTGTTAACTGGAAAGATTGTTTTAAACTTTTGATAGCTTTTGAAAGTCAGTGATACTGTCTGTAATGTTATGAAAACTTCAAGACAGGACTTGAAAAACATATGGTGTAGAAAAGAAACAACGTATCTATTACTGTATTCTCTTAGGAAAGCACTTGCTATAAGTAGAACACCACTGATGTACTTTCTTTGTGAAACATCACTAATGCTCAGGAGCCATTGGTTGTTGGTTTAATCCTGTGGATTTCCAGGCGGAACGTGTAGAATTGCCACTATAGTGTAATAGTCAGTACACTGGTCAGGTCTTCAACTTTGTATTGATGATGTGTAGGCAATCGTATTGGCCTATTTTTAGAATGAATCCAACAAAATGTAACTCGTTTGTTTTCCTTTCAAGAATGTAAGTGAAGTTACTGTATATAGTACTAATATGCTAATGGATGTTAAAATTATGAAGGTGTGTAATTGGTTAAATTTTTATAGGTGGATTTAGCAGTTTTGTCCGCCAAGTGTTGTCAATGCAGCATTTGTAGTGAGTGAAATGGTTTCTTTGTTTACTGTCCACAATATTAATTATTATCAACGTGTGACTTTCCCATACTAGTGCATGTATGTTTATTTTCCTCAAAAGACGAGATTCATCACATCGTAAACAGCTGGCACCTTCTAGAGAGGCATTACGTGTGCTGCAAAAGAAGCGAGAGTCGTACGGGTCACAGAATGCGTCAGCAAAGAAGTCGGTGATGGGTCCAATGAAGGCAGATCATAACATTCAGCCATATGCCAGACCTGAAGAGTAAGTGCTAATATAGTAATTATACCTTTGGAGTGGGTTGTGTTTCCATAACAGTTGACCGTTCTGTAAGCCCTGCTACCTTGGATAGGATTTCTAAGGTTCCACACATTGTCTAGCATAGCATAAGATTGTAAGCTTGTATGTTTGTGGGGCATATACCCAGACCTGCCAACCCCTGGGCCATGAAAATCTGGAGATTTTTTTTTAAATCTTAAAAAAATCTGGAGATTTAAAAAAAAATCTGGAGGTTTCCAGAATTAACCAAAAGATGATGCAATTTACTAAAAAAGACACGTCAAGACTAATCATTAGTGGTATAAAATCAATAGTACAAAATTACTACAAAACAACTTATTAAATTGTTGCTTGTCTAATGCATAAATCAGAGTATTTTGCGGAGGAAACCTGTAAAATCAGTGAAATCGGGTGAAAATTACATTTGATCGGGAAAACTAGAGATTTGTTTAGATATCGAGTGACGTCCGACAGGATCGGGTGAGTTGGCAGGTCTGTATACCTATTCCTGGTCATGACTATTGATTGTCCACACTGACTATGTTGTGTTAAAATTTTTTTTTTTTAAATGGCAAAATTTAAGGACAGCGATTGATAAAATTTAAAATGCTTATTAACCTATGTGCATGTTGTCAAAAGAGTTGAATGAATTGAAGGTGTATGAGTTACAAGGTAAACTATCCTGTTGTAAAGCTAGATAAAAACAAGCCCACTCAACATTATCCACCCCAAAGCCCACCCCACTTTCACAATGGTATTGTACATTTTGTGAGGTTTATGTCTAGGTGGTAATTGTCCTACACTTACACTGTCCTACAGCTTAATCAGTTGATAATTTGATTGACACTTTGAAAAGGTCCATTCTGAAATAGATTATTCAAGTTCATTGAATATAAAAAAAGATATAATGTTTTAAACCATAAAGGGTTAGTAGCATTAGATTTCAATGTAATGTAGATTTTACTGTAGTTGTAATTCTAACAGCCAAATCAATTGCCAATTATTGTGAATATTTTCTGTCATTTTTTACATATTTTTTTTTTCAGTTCGCCAAAAGAAAACCATGTGGGTGTTCAATGGCTAGAACAAGGAGCAAGACCTAAGCATTCCAGCTCAACAGAATCATTGACCATGGAATCGGAGAGTATTCGGCATGAATTTTTTTATGATACACCAATAAGGAACGATGGGAATTCAAATCCACCCTCTGGAAATAATGAATCATTCCACACAGATAATGAATCTATATCGGATATTTCAGACTACAGTAATCCAGCCTACAGAGGGAGGCTAAATGGTAAATCCAATAGCAATAGTAAGAGAACTGCATCACCGTGTAGGTCTGTTAGATTTGAGGATACAGACTCTGACGGATATCAGCCACGGTCAAGGTCATCCTCTCACAATGGATCCATTTTAAAAGAACCCGGTGAGCCAAAACGAAGAGCACCCTCATTGGACTCACCGCCTCAAAGGCATAGTTCCTGTAATACATACGCAAACCCTGTATGTGAAATTAATGATTCAACTGATGGAACAGAATCAAGAACACTAAAGCAAAAAAGGAAGGGTTCGAATCACACTGGTGTTCATTCCAGTCTTTGCCGTCAGAGCAGTGATGATCCAGCACATTACTCAGGAAATAGTTCTTCCAAAGGGAGGGAAAATGCACAGAAGAATTACAATAGGTCCTTTAGTTTTGACAGTGGAACGCCCAGTAGAGGCAGGAAGAACTCAAGATCAAGTAGCAGAAATGAAACGACGGGTAGAGGTAATTTTGTTAGTTCATTTCAATCTATATTTCAGAATGGAACTGTACCTTCGTATGTATGGTGCTAGTCTTCAAAAATAAGGAGTCAATTCAAATCCTACGAATACTTCATCTCCATTTTGTGGAGGCCTCCACTTTTGGATAGAAATATAATATAGAAATAAAAAGAAATTTACATTATTTTGTCAATATTCGTGAAGAAGAAAATGTCCTAGAAACCATTGTCCACAGTTTTTACCAAGTTCCTTATTAAAAGAAATTGAAATAAGAATAACAATATTTTGATGTCCTAGCCTGTCGTTGATAAATTCTTCCTCACTTGCCTGTTGTGCAGTGCCAATAGTCCATGTTTGTCATAATTGGAAAACAATGAGTACTTTAAAGAATAATAATATTAACAATAGAAATAAAATGATACTGATTTACAGTTTTGTTTACCTTTGCAAGTATAATCTGGAACTATTTGTCCACAGAATCCTTATCAAGGATAAGTGCTAAGCCACCCCCAGAGCCATTGTATGCTAAAGTTGACAAATCACGGAGGCAGAGGTCATCATCCCAGCCACCTGAAAGGCGCTTAACACCCTCGCGTCAGATGGTTGGTGTGGATAGCTGGTCAATTTCCAGCAATCCTTGTATAAATGATGTATTTGATGATGGACTCTTGGATGCATGTGAAAGTAGTTGGGACCGGGATTCTTGGATAGGAAGGTAATGCTTAGTATTTTGGTTTTTTTTGTTTGTATTCCCTTTTTTTTCTTTATTCTCTTTTTTTTTTATGATGACTTATGACCCAGTGTGTTTTTAAGAAGTGTTGTAGAATAAATTTGTGTTGTAGAATAAATTTATCTTGTATGTGGCAATCCCTATTCAAGACACAACATGGGTTTGTTGTCGATGCAGTGTGTACTTGGCTTTAAACACCCAACAAGAAACTTGGCGTATATGGGGATTTCAAAGAATAACACATGAGTAGAGGAAGAGGTTAATTTTGGTATTACAAAATAATACAAATAAAACGTTAGAGATAGTAAAATACCTTTGAGAGATTTTTTTTTGGTTTGATTGCCGTTTTTGGTGTGAGATACACCAGGGATAACTCGAGAAAGTCAGAAGACTGATTTCCAGTGTGGTCAGTTGGACCGTACCGTGGGAGGCAATATCCTATTCCTTTGCGAAGAGTGCACTGCATTCTTTAATGTGCACATCTTTATCATTATCAAAAAACAATGAATTGCATACACAGTGTTCTCCCAATTGAAAATTTTTTTACTGGTAAATTTGTCCATATGGAGGCAGCTAAGCTTGTACAACGTGAGGTATTGCCACTTTTAAGTGGAGTTCAATGACTTAAAAAAAAACAAGAATACAATATCATAGCCTGGACCTGGACTGGAATGATGTTCATTTATTGAAAAAAGGCCAGTCTAGACTACCTAGGCCTCATAAGTACTTTTTTTTTATTCGATACCAACACACAATTTTTAATGGTTGATCAGTTTCTTTTTACTGGTAAAATTGACAGCTAAAATGGCTTTGGAAGAACATTGCATACAGGACCGATGGCTTAAACATCTCATCCAAAAGACGTTGCTCTGTGAGCTTCTTGTAATCATGAACAGAGGAAGAGTAATCCCAGTTTCAAAGATTGATGTAATTACAAACTCCAACTGCACTTTATCTTTTTAATATGTGAACCCAAACAAGTTCTTTTACTGCATTCATATTATCAGGATATATTATTATTATAAGCATTACAGTATTACAATTAGATACAAAAGCTGAAGCCAAAAATAACAAAACCCCAATCCCAAAACAATATACCAACATCTATAGCTACTTGCTACTGTTTGTATTGGAGCGTTTAATAATGTGCAAAAGTTGTTTTGACTTTCAAATGTGAATTATACTGATTGAAGCCAAATTACTCGAGATTAATTTATCATTGAAATGGAGCATGGCAGGTGTTTTGATCTGCACGTCGCTTCCGGCTTCTTTTAATCTCGGTATTCTAGTTGCCATGGTTTCACGTCATTCTGATTGTGCCGCTTCCCGTAGGCAGGTGATAAAAGTTATTCTGAGTGCATTGGTTAACAGCGGACAATCAAGTTCAGTGTTGATGAATAAACCAAATACAAATGTTTGTTATTTCTGAAACATCACAAGAGTTTAAAATCCATAGCTAAGTGATAATTATTTATGTATTATTTAAAGGGTTTTAGGCCTGTTTTCTACACAGTTTTATTCAATTTTATTTTGTTTGTGTGTGATAATGCTTGCGAGGTTTGTGCCATTTTGTTTTTAAAACAGTGTTTATTTCTTTTTTATTCATTGTGTAGTGGTTTCCACTGATGACAAATTTTAAACTTAATAAATAAGTATATGAATTATTAAATACTTTAAAATACTACATCTTAATATCTTAATGAAAAACAAAAAAATATTCGACCAAGACCTACATTAGGTTTCATTTTAACATTACCATACATTTCATATTTTAGAAACATCTACTTAATTTAGTTAAATTTTATTTTTACTGGCATTTTCAAGAGTTTCAGTTTTGTGTTTTGTATAATAAATTCTCATAGCAATTTTTAAAAATTATGTGTGAATCTAAAATGATCCTGAGATGTAGATGCAAGTACAAAACCTTGATTTTACAAAATCTCTCCTTGGACAACTGCTAGAAATTCATTCAATTTATATAAAGTAATGCTGCATTATAAACTCACTGGATGTGGATGCTACCACATTTATATAAGATAATGTCTTATTGAAATAAGATTTGAACATTTAGTTAGAAATATTTTTTTTACATTGTTTTAAAAATTTAACACTGTAAATTTTATAGATTTATTCAATTATTCATTATGAAAGTGTATTCATTATCTACTTGATATTTGTGCTCATTAGTTTTGATAATATTCTTTTTAAATATACTATTTTCTTTTGAATTTGAAGGCTCTATTCGTTTGTTGGGTTTTTTTTAAGTTTTAGGTCATATTAATAATATATGTATAGGCAATGTCATTATACTGTAGATTTTACTAAGTTTTTGGCCCTGGATTGATAGAGAATTCATTATAAAAGGTTGAACAAAATAGTACTGGTACTTATCCTCATAAATTAATTCCGAACATTAAACAAACAAATCAACCATAACATTATTTTTGAAATTAATTGAATTATTACATTATTATAGTCTTCTTGTATATTATTAACATTTTGAAAGTAATTCAATGTTTTTGATTTTTTAAATATTTTTTCCTATAAGAAGTGAGTCCAATCTAATTGGCTTTCAATTTGGCTAGATACATGTACATTGTTAAAATACACTAATAGACTGCTGTGTATTCATTCACATATCACACAATTCTATCTTACAACATAAGAATTGATACAAAAGATCAGAAACATTTCCAGTTCATTGAAGATACACACAATTTGCCATATCATACAGTATCTGTAAATCACCATTCTCAATTACTTATTCATTTCTAACCTCTCCGCTCCAGCGCTTCAGTATTTACTCCCTGTAATTAACACCTAACAATTAGTATCTCTACTCAACTGTAGAATAGTGTTGACAGCAATTCTACCTATATATGGTATCATCTGTTATAGCACCTCTCTGGATAGAATAAGTATGGCAGATTTTCCTACAGAATCCTCTGCTACTTTCCTATTTTCTCCATCAACATCACTAATTATATTGTTTGTTTTTCTATTTGTTGACATTAAGTCCCCATTAGATGGCTTCATGTTTTTAAATTAAACCAGGAATTTACCCATATTAGTTAATAAGTATGTTTGATTATTGATTGTTATGTCTCATAATGTATTGTTCTGTGAAAGGGAGGTAATTATAAATTAACAAACCTAAACTAAAACTAAATCTCCCTAAATATTTGCCTGTTCATTGTAGAAACTTTTCTTGATTCTCTTATTCTGAGATGTTTTGCAGATTTCATCCTTTTTAGGATGCATTTAATTTGCTTCGTTCCACATAGCATCCTATTACTGCTAATAGTATTCAAAGTCACTCATGCTGAACGTTGATCATCTGTTACATTCCATCTATTGTACAGACTCTTGAATATTCATCATTATGCAAATTTCAGCCTAATAATACCTGAACTGTTTATGTATTGATCGGTGGACAGCTTTTTCGAATTTTTATCAAACAATTGAAAGAGGCGCAAAACTAGAGGCATATGGTTTTATTGCCAGCAATCTGAGGTGTTAACAATGTTGCATATTTTGTAGAGTAGAGTTTAATTTATGTTCTCTAGCATTGTATTTTACGATGGAGATTATTCAGAGGAATACAAGAGATGTGAGGAGGACTATTAGAATTCATTACCGCTCAGTCCTTAGGTAAAGTTATTTATATTTTGATTGCTAATTATCAATTAATATGTTATTTATTTAGTATTATTAATCATGTTTGCAATAACTGCCTTAATTTAAGACATGTTAACAGATTTATTTTTATCAATCGATTGTTTGCAGTATTGTAGTAGGTGTACCATTTTTTATAGCAAACCTAAGTTTACAATTTTCTTTAGTGATAATACTGTTCGGAAAATCTAATTCTTATTAGAATAATTTGCTAAAATTTTGCAGGTTTAGGACTTGTGAGCAAGATCAATAATCATACATGTATATTAATTAAATTTTTAATTTAGTCAGTATTGTCTAGCATGGAGCTATGATAGTGCCCCCAAGATGCTTGTGATGTCATCAGAATAATATTAGTATAGTATTGCAGGTAGGAAAAGATTGGAAAGAACGAATTGTCATTGATTTTTATTCTTAGGTATCCTATATTATTGATTAATTATTATAGTTTTAAATAGATTTGCGGTCTTTGCTGCAGGTATACCTCAATAAATAAATTAATAAAGCAAAAATATATCTTGTATTATTATAGGTTATATCACATTTTTGCACAAAAATAGCCAATGAATGTTTCTGTGCTCATTTTTATTTCCAAATTTCCAAGGTGATACATACTGTACACTATCAGACCTAATTAAATGTCTGATCAGACTATATCTGATAGTGTTGCTTATTTCAAATCTGATCAAACTAATGGTTTTCCATGTCTTTTAGAGGTTTTACAATCTGGTCAAACATTATCTAACGGATAAACCTAATACTGTAGTATGCTTGCTTTTGAGTCCATGTGCAATGAAAAATTTTTATTATCATTAAATTTAGTACTAGAGTAGATACTTAATATTTATACAAGTTATTGTTAAAGAAAATGTGGCATTAGAAATTGAAAGCTGCTTTAATAATTTAAATATCCAATGTGTATCTGGAGCTGCTGTTGAGACGCTGTTTATTAATTTATATTTTTCAATTACCACTTACCGTAGGTTCAGATAGGGGTCAATTGTAAAACTGTACGTCCAAACAAGGTGTGAATTAATGATAGGCCTCTGTAGTTTTTTGTGAATTGTAGTTTACCAAAGACAACTCTCTCATTTTTATGTACAGTATTCAAAATATATTCAGAAAATATGCATTCTGGTAAAGGTGTTATGCAGCTGATCATTTCGACGAAAATCGGAAATAGGAAAATGATTTTTACTATATTCCCATATTTTCATATCATAATGATATGATGATCCAGTGTTCGTATTGTAGTATTATCATTGTTGTTATTATTTATTATTTATATTTTATTTTCAATAAATGCTATTGTTACTATATTATTTATGTTGTTATTATTTAATTTATTATTAATGTTATTATTGTTTACTACTAATGTTATTTTGATCATTTATTATTGTTACAATTAGGGTCATTCATTTTGAGAGAATAGAGAGAATACTCTTGTCTGTGACCCCATCCTCTACCCCCAGAAACGTAATATAGTAAAATATTTATAATCTTTACATTATCATTATGTTATTTTTTGAAAGTTACTATCTGTCAACCCCTCTCCCTAGCATATACCATGGAGGAAATATATTATAAATATTTATTATAATATATTTCCTCCATGCATATACTATGTTTTGTATTCTCCCTTTACTATCATTATTCATTCATGCAAATCAATCGCATGGTATTCAGGTCAGCAGACTGGTGTATTCATTTGGTATGACTAATACTCTACATATCACTAATTTGTTTTCTTTTCTCCCAAATCAATATATGTTATTAAAGTGACATATTGTGAAGCCATTTTATGGCAATTTACTGGATGATGTGTTTGCCTGATGTCTTGCCTTTGTTACCATGGAGCTATGAATTTTATAGTTCTGTGGTTACAAATGACTGTATTTTTATGCTCTTTGTTTTGAGCCAGGGAAACAATTTAAATATAAAATTAAATGTTTGAACTTATTTTTTTTTAAATATTTACCAATGTTATTAGCTTTCAGTTTGTTTTGTTTTTGTTTTTTTTTGTTTTTTGTTTTTTGTAAATTAGCAAAATAAAAAGATTAAAAAAATATTTTTTTATATGTGGGTATTCAGTTGAGCATTGATCCTTTCATAAATTACCAATTTAATCTCATTCAATTTTAGTTTTTCTAGTTTTCACCACAGGCAAAATATTTTTAACAATACTTGACACCAGTGGTGGGTTTAAGAGGAACATTTTTATTTTATTAAGGTTGATAATTTTTATAAGATGTATGCAGGAGTATCTGCTGTGAAAACAGAAATGCAACAGCAATTTAAAGTGAGTTTTTTATACTCAAATTCAGAATGTTTGGATTATTTTACTCCACAGTGACTTGAGTCGTCAGAGCAACTTGAGCAGTTCACGCACCTCACTCGCCTCGCGCGCTTCCATTTCGGAGAAGATGTCCAGCCTGGGCAGGGCTACAAAGAAGAAGTTCTCTTCGATGCGAAGAGCGTTGAGTTTAGACCGCATTGATAAAGCTAATACAGTAGAAGAACCACCAAAGGTAATAATGTTTTTTGTTGCTACTGTTGTTATTGTTGTTGTTGCTACATGTAGTTTATTAGGTTTTCTGTATAAAATATTAATTGGTTGCTATAGTCTATCATTGTTGCTACTGTAACATAAGACTTAATTGATTTTTTATTTTAAAATACCAAAACCATTCAACTTACAAATATTAAAGTACAGAATTCGCTAAATTGCTGTTGCCATTGTTGGTATTGTTGTTATTGTGACTTTTGCAACATAAGTAAGTAACAGGGATTACCAAAAACATGACATACCCTGTACACTCACGTATAAGACGAAGCTTAAAATAGCAAATTATGATCGAAAAACAGGGGGTTGTCTTACACTCACGACGTACACGTTTTTAAAAATCATGTTCGTAACACGCAAATATACTACTGCAATGAAGCTACTAAATGCTAGTATGAGTGAACGCAATTTTAAATACGGGGAAATAAGATTTTGATGAAAATTTAAAAGCTCATAAAATGGCATTATTTGAAAAATTTGCCTTGCATTTGGCTCTGTTTTTAGCCAGATAAATGTAGTATTAGGACCAACAAAAAAAAACAGAAAAAAAGTAGGAATTCCGACCATGAAACAGGGGGTCACCTTATACACCCGACATATAAAAATCGTCTTCTCAAACTCAGAAGTTTGTATGTTAAAATACAAGCTAATATATTTAACAATACCGAGGAAAACAAAGAAGTACATTTACTTTTGTACATAAATAATAATTATACAGTCTTCAATCAACACAAAGCTAACATTATAATTGGACCACCTCAAATTTTCAGGTCCCAAAAGTGGTCACAAATTCTGTGAATTTTACCACTATCATTTGTTCATTTATAGAGGATAAAAGTTTTTTAATTGACAGTATCTTACAGGAAGGTTTTTAGCTAGGTAAGAACACATTAATGATAATGTGCTTAATAATGTGAAAATAGAACAATAGAAAAATATAGGTTTAACAAATTTTGCCATGATTTAATTTGTGGTTATTTTCAATTTGAATGTTTCTTCTGTAAATTTTTCAGTTAAATCTCAATGAACTCAAAACCAATGTTGCGTTTTGTTTTACAGCTTTCTAATAATTTTCTTTTCATATTTATGTTCAGATGAGAAAGTCACCATCACTGAGGTCATTGACTTCATCTCTTGGCAAAAAGTTCAAAAGGTCAGCATCGAGTAGCGATATTACACTTTCAAGAGAAAGGTAAAATATACTTTATAATAATGCATATTGTAGCATACATATTGTTCCAGCTATTGATCGCATAATATGAAGCAGATAAAGGCCTTGCAAAAACATTCAAGCCAGTGGTCAGACAAAGACTCGAACCATGCACTTTTGATAAGCCCCTAGCATTTACCACCTGATGCTGTTTCACAGGCTTTCACAGGCAAAGTGCGGTCCGTGGACCGCATTCGACCCGACGGCAGTTGTGTTGCTGGCCACAAAAGTAATCCCTCTGTGTGCGACCTGCCTGTAATTTTCTGCTAAAAAACACCTCGTTACCGCCCGATGCTGATTATTGATAAAAATATTTAAAAACCAAGTTTTTACAAGTCCTAATTTTCACATAAAACATTTGTTTGCAGTTTGTATGCAGCCCTCTGTGCAATTTAAAGATTTACTTTGACCATCTAACACATTTTATGCCCACTTCTGGTCTATGTGAAGTAATGCATAATAATCTCTATACTGTAATACATTTGTTAAATGTCATCTTGTAGGTCTGGGAGCATAATGAGTTTCTCCTCTACCTCCACCTATACACGACCACGCCGATCAACCATGGAGACGGACGTAACTAGACCCACACACTTACGGAAGGTTGGCCGTTTATTACAACTCAATAAGGATGGTACTCAGGTTATTGAACTGGTGAAGCCACCCAGTGGTCCATTTGGTTTCTACATTGCAAAAGGCAAATGCAATTCTGAAGCTGGTAAGAATAACAATTTTTAACAATTTGGTGATGGTTTCTACCTAAGAAATATCTGAAATAGAAAACTTTGAAGGCTGATTTCTCAAATATTGTTCTTTAAACAGCTGTATGTTTAAACTCCTGTAACTTCATAACCAAATGTCGGATTTAAATAATTATTTTACCATTTTATAGCTCTCATTTTACTGTTAAACCTTGTATTAAAAATCAATTTTTGTGACGAGCGACTGGTTTGGCTTGTCTTTGCCACATTTACATTCACAAATTAGACATTAAAAGGTGATGCTCAATATGAAAAGAATATCAGGAGAAATATGTTATTGTGATTGTGAATAAATTTATATTTTCACCATGAATTGTTTTTACAAATCTTGTACTATTTTATTTCTCTTCAGGTGTTTTTGTTACAAGGTTGAGCGACGGTCATCCGGAGAAAATTTTACTCGGATTAATTCAGGTCGGAGATGAGATCCTGGAGATTAATGAAGTTCCTGTACAAGGAAAATCTATTGATGATGTTTACGACATCATTCTAGAGAACGATAAACTAGTTATTAAAATACTGCCACTATCTGCTAGGAGCTGATGAATGAGGATCTATTGGAAGAATCACAAATTCTTGAGACATCAACCAGTCATTAAGGCATCAAACAGATACACTTTGCCACCTCCTGGATGCTTGCTGAAACTACCAAGAGTTGCATTGTGGTGAGATTCTGTGGCAGAAGAGAACCCTGATGGCAGAAGCAGATACATTCTGACAACTACTGGTGTGTTGCTGTCACTTCCTCTAGTTCCTTGAACTGATAAAGGCCTTGTGGTAGGGAATGTTGATTTTACATGCATTATCAAGCTAACTTATGACAACAGCTAGATTAGCCTTCGCTGTCACTGCCTCTCGTTCCTTTCCTGATGAGGATTGTGCTATGAAGGCTAATCCACCTGAGATCAGTTCATTGATTGGCAGTAATGGACAGAGTTTGGCATCACGGATATGGACATTACAGCATGAAGTTTGTACGTTGGAGGTCATCACAAGCAAATGTACGCTTTCATGGTACTGCAGTCAAGCTTTTCAACATGTACTTCAGTGGAGTTGAAGACCTTCATTTCATCTTTCCGATTTGCTATTTAAAAAGCATCTTACTTGATTTGGATCATACAGAGTTTTTTTTAATTTTTTTTATTTTTTTTTTTACAGTCAACAACATTGTCAAACAGTAGACCTTCAATATCTCATGTTTGTTTTAAAAAGTCAATGAACTTAAAGAAGATCTTACATTATGTCTATAGATAGTCAAAATTATCTCACAAGACCGACTGAAAGATCATTGAACCTTACAAGATATTTACAGACAGTAAACATCATCACCGGAGAGTGAACGTCATCGTCTTTTCTTGTTTGGCTCATAAACATGTTCACTTGGCTTAATGCAAGTAGGCTTATTTCAAGAAAAATGATATCAATATTTAATAATGATTTATGTAATGCAGATGATAGTGTAAAGCCCCTCTCCCACTAGGGTTTTTTTCAGCATACGAGTTACAAGAGAATGCCGAGTTGCCAACTCGGCAAAAACTCATAGGACGATTCGGAAAGCTCGGAGAGGACTCTTACCTACTCGTAGCAGCTCTGAACCCGTGGCGCTAATTTTGAACATGTTCAAAATTATCGCCATGAGTAGATAACTCGTAGTAAACTCGAAGAACTCGTAGGTAGCTCGTAGAGTACTC